AAACACCTAAATGCCCGGAATACCTTGGTTTACTGTGATTGATGTCCATGTTAACCCTCCAATTACTAAAGCTGATGCAACAGGGAGATACTGAAAACATACAATTGCCAAATAAGCCAAATTAGCCAAATAAGAGTCATTGCACATCATGATGAAACTAATTTAGCATTTTCATGCACTGGACAGTGAGTTACACATGCAGTTCGAAAATTATCCTTACTCAAGGTTTCACTTAATTTATCTGAGCACGAGTGAGCAAAACATGGATATACTACATTCAGCCTGAAACTCTGATGTTGCGTTTGGACTGAAGGATTTCAAGAACTTAAAATTCCTAAGATTCTGGATCTATGATTTTAAATTTCCTTGTTTGGATTTGGGTTGATTTTTGGAAAGGATTACAAATCCATGACAAGTTAAATCCGGCAAAAATGCATTTTTAGTCCTATTGGTTTGACGCCATAGTAATTTTAGTCCAAAGGCTCCAACTTTTCGCCTTTTTGGCCTGTGATTTAATATTTTACTGCAATTTCAGGACTGAAATTGCAACAAAATATTAAATTACATAACTTAAATTGCTAATTGAAAATCTGGGAATTTGTTGCAATTTTAGTCATCAAAGTACTGAAATTACAACAAAATATTAAATCACAGATCTCAAAAGCGAAATGTAACTTTGAGACTAAAATTGCTATGACTTTTGACCAACAGGACTAAAAATGCAATTTTGCGTTTAAATTCATAATTTTGTTTGGTGAGGTAGTGGGTGTAGATGATGGTGATAAAATGAAAGGAGAACTTCAAATGACTGACTAGGTTTGAGGAGTAATTTAAAACCTCTCGAAATAACAATGGAAATTGTAATTCTATTCACATCCAAATGAATCTGGGGATTTGACTAGGGTAGATAGACCCAAATCTCTCGATTCAAAACACAAAATGAAGTTCATTTACAGGGGATTTTATTACTTACAGAAATGGATTCGTAAACTTTAGGTTGTGAAGGAGATGGACCGTTTCTGTTCACAGTATAACGTCCACTGATAAGATCAATGGCATCCTGTGAGAGCCCCCAAAAAGAATGTCAGAAATTTTATTGTTGTAAACCTTTTAGCCCTCTCTTTATCTCTCACGCACACGCGCGCGCTCACACGCACATACAAACAAAAAGAAAATACACAATTATCAAATCCGAATGACTTGCCTGTCGAACTCCGTCATGAAAATTATTCAGGTAGTACCTTGAAAGGGCACTCATACCATCTTTGATAATACCAGACATTGTCTGTTTCCCAAATCTGAAACATAGTAAATCACATAATAAGGTGATGTCCTTAATATATCCATTTTTTTTTTTTGGTATCCAAATTACTTGTTTATTCTCAGTTCACCTCACAAGGTCTCGTTTCAGTGCATGGGTCCCGGAATACTCGAGGCTTATCTCATCCCCGTGCTCCACCCATACTGTCAAGAACAGCAAATGTATCAGCAGAAGCAAAAATAAAATAATAACACTGCTCATATGCAACTAACACAATTAACTATTTATACTCGGTCCATACACGTCTTGAAAATTTCAAAATCTTCAATGAACATCGAAATACATTCGGTTGGAGAGATTGCGCCAACTCTTTGGAGCTGGGAATTTAGGGATTTCTGCGCGAGGTAACTCTGCATTTGAAAACATGGAACGTAAGATATCAAAAAGGGAAAATCAAATTCTCCATAGATAATTTATTTCATTTCTTTTTCTTTTTCTTTTTTTTCCCCAACAGATAGTAATCAAGAGGAAGAGCAGAATTTGCTGGTAATCAGAGGAATAACTGAAAGGGGAAACTAAATACTCCATAGATAATTATTTCTTTTCTTTTCTTTTTCCAATGGCTTTGCCATCAAGACGAATAATCGAATTTGTTTCCTCAAACCTGTGTAACATTTGTTCTGTCGAGACAATCGATGCAGTTAGATCTAATTACTCCTCCCTGTTCCATTACAATCTTCCCTTGAGAATCTAAAAGGAAGTATCTGTTCAGCTGGAATAGTAAATATTAAAAGAGTTATGAATATCCATCATAATAATCGACACTAAAGTCCATCATCATTACCCTTGCTTCTCGAAGTCCTCTGCTATTTGGTCATACAGGAGGTGTATGTTTTCCAAGTTTCCATTGCTGCATAACTGGTGGAAGTCAAACGGCACATACCTTGGAACGAGAGTATATAAATAAATTAAGTATTTGTATTTATATTCCTTTTCTTGTCTTACAGAACATAAAACCTGGTGGAAATATAAAAGGAAACAACAAATTTGGACGAGAACACAGTACATAGTACAAGGTCCCAATACATATTTATACTTTGTCTATAATTTACTCAAACTATTTTGGGGCATCACCAGTGGATCAGTTATGATCCTCAGATGTAAGAATAAATACAGAACATTTCAAGCAATTCATCAACTTATTTTTTTCTGAATACCAGATTCTAATTTTGCCATAAGAGGTGGAAAGCTCCCATGTCTTACAATTCTTCCTATAAGTATATGCAATTAAAAAAAATAAAAAATCAACAAACAAATAAATATCTTATATTTATAGAACAAGTGGAAAAGACTAACCTCACGTGCGGAAGCTTCTGCATCTCTTCTGCATAGGCCGAACTCAACAAACCTTCGTCTCCGTGCTACAAGATAGATTGAAAGAGTACTGTGCATTAGTGGAGCAAAGTGAAATTTCCACAATATTGAAAATGGTTCGAAAAATCAACAGACTTGACGTTGAACAATGAAAATACTTTACCTTATCAGTCAGGTCAACCACAATGCATCCTCCATATCTTTTCAGAAGATCATTAAAATGGCGTTCCACAACCGTTGACTGAAACAGAAGACAAACATGAGTGCTGACTCGACTAGAATAGCAAAAACAGCAAACGGATAGAATAGGGCATGTACATACAGTCTGTTCGTGGTTGATTATATTGAGCCGTGGTTTGTAGCTCAAATCCACAATTTGCTCCCACAGAAGTGGAATTGAACCCCGGACCTGAGAATCACAGCTTCATTTAACATGCATTTCCAGAGTTGAAGTTCAACAAATATAAAATAAAAATGATCGTATGTGAGAGAAATAGGTAGAAAATCCACTCACATGTATATAGTAAAAAAAAAAAACTGACCCTAAATATTATAGTTAACAGTTAACAATTTCCGACCTATAACACTTACCAATAGGGGAAACTATATACATGTTAAGTTCTGATTGAATAAATAAACATGATGAGGGTGAACAGTATTCACTTGAATTGGGTGAGGATATAGTAGAAATCATGTTTGACGTGAGAAACTCAAACACGGCTAGATATGTTATACGTGATGTTACTTTAGCAGTGTACGGCGTTATTTTAGTAGTGTGATGGGGCAAGTGTTATTGTATATGTAGTGAATGTTTTTTAACAATCATCACTGATCACAATCCAAAAGATATCTCCGTATTATGATACAGGGTGTTACGATAAACCTATATCTTCCGTGTTATGATACAGGGTGTTACGATAAACCTAATATATATAGGTACTATAATGTCGTCGCTATGTCTTTGGGACATTTTAGATTCACCTGGATTGGCATTGGGGTTGTCTGAGTACGAAATAAAAAAAAAAAAAATAAAAGATAAATGATATGGTGTATAAAAAAAATCATAATATAAATTCCACGTATGGAATATTTCCCTTCCATTTGCTTGAAAATATATTTTATGTTTTGTGTTGGATCACTTACTCATACACTGACTTAGGTCATAATCCCCTCCCAAAGTTCATACATCATAACACCACTAATAGGTTTACTCAAACCGTGATCGCAACTCTGAAATTGGCACATCGTAATGGCAACTTATATCTCTAATGTTAACAAAAATGGTCGTACATTAACTCTTACTTCTATAAAGCAATCAATATCTATCACTATTTACTGAGTGTGAGTAAGTAACATAAAATATGCCCAATGGAAGGGTGACTGTAACTGAAACAAACCTGCAGAAAAGAGAAAATATGGCCTTCACACTCTAGCAGCTGCTCAGTTTCTATAAAATTAGCAGTATCTCCTTCTAGATTAGCTCCTCTTCTCCACATTCTTGTCCCTAAATTAGTAAATTCAATAGTACAAAATGTTAAAATGTTATCCAACTACAGAGAAGTAATTAAATACAACCATAGTTTTGTACCTAGCCGCCTTGTACACCTCCGAGAAACTAATTTTATAACAGCAGTTGAATTTTTCAGCTTCATTTCGCCAGTCTGAAAGCTTTAGCCTTAGTCAAGGAGAACATAATTATTGAGTTCTTTTCTTTTATGTTCTTATATAGTTATATTCATTTCAGATGATTATAGATGCTACCAGAGAGCGGATTAACCAAAAGAGATGGAGGAGAAAAGATAATAGTAAATCCACACACACACAGGCACACGCGCACACACACACAAGGAAGGATATTTCCTTGTAATATAGGGATGATAAATCCATCGAGCTGCAAGAAGAAAGAGAATAATTAAAAAACAACATATAGTAAGCACATGCTCAAATTAATGTAAAATTAGCTTTACCAACATATTTTTGCCATTACAACTCCATTTGATGACAAAATGACAAGAAATCATCCGTGCAGTTTCATATAAGCAATGTAAAATTTAACAAAGAATGTAGATGACTAATCACTTCAGGAGGAGACATTTGCTAACCTTGTTCTCAATAAGCTCCTCGAATAAGTTCCTGTTCCAAACAAATCGAGGATCACCCTGCAGTGCAGCAGAAGTCAATTCATTATATAAAATTCATTTCTGCAGATATCAGAAAGCAAATTGAACATGTTACAAGTTAACTTAAACAGTGAGGCACAATCAATGGAGCATAAGGATTAAAGTATACTTTCCAATTGAAAATGTTAGGTGTCCTTAAGCGAGTAATAATTCTGTGGAATGTCACATGCTTTCGAGAATATACCTGCTTCCAAATTGGACTACTCTCCCATCCTTGTGGCAGCTTGTATCTCCTCTGCAAGCTGCTATCCTCGAGAACAGAATAAAGTTCCTCTAACTTCTACTAAAACACTAGAGTAGGAGATAGCTCCATAAAAGAGTTACCTTAATGTCATATCTGTTCCATAAGAGTAATACAAGCCTGGAGTTGATTCCACTACCTTCAACAGAGTCATAAAATAGTCCTCATCTCTTTTCTGTAGAATTACACAAGTGTTGCAATTTAATTTTTCTTATTAGCGAACATTCGAAGAAGGTTAAAATAAATCAAGAGATGTGGAGCCATACTTCTTGACTAGTTAAGAACCTTGAAGCTTCGTTGCAGGACAGGAACTTCATTGATGTGACAAGATAAACAGGATAACCAAGATAAGTTCCAACTTCCTTCCTAGACGTTATAACCAGAATATATGTACCTACAGATTGCAGCCGCCCCATTGAACAGTAAGGTACAAAAAACAATGACATATTATCAAATAAATTAAGTACCATAACATCAAATGCATTAAATGGACATATCGCTTTATATGTAAATGAAAGGGATAATGAGGATGCAAAAGAGATAAAGAAATTCTTCAGGCCTGACTGACAACACTATGCATCTTTCCAAAATCCACCTGCTAGCAACTTTATTGTTCCAACAACCCCATATATAGTCGAGACTTTGGAAGGCTTTCCAGAAGAGTCATCACCTAAAAAAAATTGAAATTAATTGAGAAAGAAAAATCATCATTTATTGCTCCCACACAAGGAAAAGATGAAAAATACAGAAAACGATTCATAACATTCGTCCATTGAGATACATCAAATTGATTCTAAGCTGAACCATTAGTTTTGATTGGTATCTTCCCAACAAATCAGGATTAAGGAACTTGCTCCTTAAGATTGGACAAATTGTCTTTTCTGTGGTTTGTGTTCCATCAATAGGTTGATCTAATAAATCTAAGCTACTATTGATATGCTATTTCCATTCCAGCACATCCTGCAAGGATACTAACTCAAAACTTCATTCCCCACGTACATAATAAAGTCACCAGTTGAGCTGAAGTCTAATCAAAATCATAAACCAAATCAATCCCCTTATTCCTGTAGACACATCAGCTGAATCCTCATAATCACGTAAAAATATAAAAAATAAAATAAAAGGTTAACTGAACTAAAAAAAAGTTAAAAAACGATTCCACATGAAAATATGAGGTAAACACACAATAAAAAACGATTCCGTATGGAAATAAGAGGTAAAAATACAAAAAAGCAATTGCGCCCAGGAAAAATTCTACCACTGCAGTTCAAATGCAACAATTCCTCAAATCAAGCAAGCAACGTATCCGAGATCAAACAACCGAACTGCAATTTCGCTTATACACAATTCAAGCAGTAGCATAACAAATTCGAATTCACTTTTTGCAGCTACAAAAATTCATTAGCAATAAAGAGAAAGGTAAGAAGACAAAGAAGAAGAAGGATAAGAAAAATAAAATACCGTTCAGCTTGTCAATGTTTCCGTCCAGCCGGCTTATCGAGAAGCCTTCCTCCGGCGATTCAACGGATCTGATCGCGAACTTATCGGCGAACTCCTGCAATTCCAGCTCGCTCCACAGCTTGAAATGGCTTCTCGAATTCAATTGAATTTCCGTTTCCATTTTTCTCCTTTTTTTTCTCTCAGGCTATTTTCGCGAACGAGGGAAAAAAAAAATTATAGTCAAATTTAGAGGCTGACTGAAGATTCGACCGTCAGGGCGGATTGGATAATCAAAGACTGAATTGAATCAAGCGAATTGATTGATGGAAACGGAGATGGAAATTTGTTTTTGTTGTGGTTCTGGTTTTTTTTTTTTAAGGACAACTGTCTTTGATTAGTTTAATGGGAAGCTGAGTTATCATTATATGATGGTGAAGGGGTTTATATCATTTGTTATTTGTATGACTTGGCATGTTCTATAATCTTCGTTTATTCTCGTTTTCGTGTGTGATACCACCATTCCCGAAAATGACGTACTTACTAAGAAGGGGGTATAACAGGAATATTTAGATAATAAATATTGCAAACAATATTTGGTAAAAAAATTTTCCAAATAATAGTAACTAGTACAATACCCGTGTGTTACATTAATAATTGATAAAATAATTAAATGTAAAATAAAAAATAAAAAAAAATATTTATATGTTTTGTTGAAGTTGAAAAAAATAAATAAGGAACAATATATAACAATTTATAATAAAGAAGTAAGTGAATTAACAATATTATTTTAAATTTTAAAAGATAATTTATATACTTTATTAATTTTATTTATAATATTTTTATTTAAAATACATAAGAGACTAATATGGACAGAACACAAGTTACACAACATTTAGAATGTAAGATAATATGCACATTATAAAAAGAAGATATCAAATAGATTTACATGAAATAATTTAAATAGATGTATATATGTCAATCCAAACCTAAAATATTTGCTATAGTAATTTTAACACCACAAAAACCCTAATAAAAAATTTCTACAAGAAGTCAAGAACCAGACCATTCCAACACGATACAATTATAAGGGGAGGGTCGATCTTATTGGTGTGACTTGTCAGCACAACTCAGCACTGACTTTTACTATTGGATAACTTCATAATACATAAAATAAAAAAATAAAAAATAAAAAATAAAACCCCAAATGTTGCGGTGCTATATCAACCTGTTCATTTTTTATTTTTTTTAACGAACCGATAACTTACCATTAACACCACCAAGTGTAGAAAAAGAATTACAAACTAACCAATGAAAGCAAAACAGTACAAACTGAAACTCTTAAGCACAGAAATAACTAACCAAACAACAGACCCCCAAAATAACCCAAAAAACAAAAAAGGAAAAGAGACTCAAGTAAACAAGAAAACAGGCCTTTGGAAGTTTCATCTAACCAAATACAGGGAATGTTTGTATATGCATTGTAAATAAAAACCAGAATTCTCAAAAAATATCCCAACAAAGAAAGTCAAGCTACAGAATTTCATTTTTTTTTTAAAAAAAAAAGCAACAAAACAGCAGAACAAACTTTCACTTCACATTTCTTCCTTCATTGAGGCTGCTGCGGCGGTGGCTGGGTCATGTGCATCATCATTGGCTGCTGCTGCTGCATCGGGTGGGGCCCACCGCCCAGCTGCTGCTGAGGTGGCGGTGGTGGTGGCTGGCCCATATGCATCATCGGGTGGGTCCCACCACCGCCCATCTGCTGAGGTGGCGGCTGGGCAGCCATGTGCATCATCATTGGCGGCTGCTGCTGCTGATGCATCGGGTGGGGCCCACCGCCCCCCAGCTGCTGAGGTGGCGGTGGAGGCCGCCACAGTTGTTGGTAGGCACTCTGAGGAGGGGGTGGGGGCATGCGGATGGGTGGGGAAGGTACCGTGCCGTTGGCAAAGGGCGGCCTCACCACCGTGCCGTTTGGCTGAGCCGGGGGCCCACTCGCGAACATTTGCTGAGTCGGGGGCCCGCTCGCAAACATTGTGTGGGGCCGGCTTCGTTGGGCGTTGTTGGAACTGTTTGCAGCCAGGAGTCTCTCTGCAGCAGAAGAAGATGATGGACGATAAATTGATCGCAGAAGATTATAGATTCAGAAACACTAGTATAGAGTTAGCCGTGCAAAAATCATCAAAAAGAAAAAAATGTAATTCATACAAATCCATAAAGATTAAATATTATTGAACACTTCCTTATATACAACGTTCTTCGTCTTTGTGAATTCAGCAAATTAATATTATTGAATTAGTAACCTACTGAATTAGTACTTAGTAAAGTATGAAATTATCATTATATTGTGATTATAATCTAATTGATTGATATCTAGATGGGATGTTTCGTAATTAATTTGTTAACCTGTTGCTCGCTCTCCATTTGTCGTAGTTATAACTTAATAGAAGTTGAATCTAAACATGATTGTTAGTTGATTAGCTGGCATTATTAATTTATCAAGAGACGGCATGTTAAAAGGGATAGGGCTCATATTGTCTAGCACTTGAACAATTACCCTTCAGAAAAGATTACCAGGCATTCTATTTCACTACATCTACTTATACACGTGTGAATGTGTGTGTATACATAAATATATATCTATGTCCACACACACACACACACACAGAGAGAGAGAGAAAGAGAGAAAGAGAGAGAGCTCGCCTGCTGGCGTGCCATGACGCTCCCCCTTAGTGTCCTTCTTGTAAGCATAAGAGACTGTTATCTGGCGATTGCAAAGATACTGACCATTCATGGTCTGTAAAAACAATAAAAGACTGTTAAGTTCTCAAACAAATGAATTTAGTTAGATACAGTGCAATTGGTGTGTAATACTTCTCTCATATCCAAAGCCTAACATATGCAATATTACAGTAACAGGCATAAATAAGAGCCACAAATAATAGATAACAAGCTAATTTCCAGTCGCATGTGGAACAGAAAATGATACCTCTATAGCCGCATCAGAAGCATCAAAAGAATCATAGCTAATAAAACCAAAACCACGAGAATTTCCAGTCTCAGGATCTCTCATTATCTGCAACAGGAATTCACAACCAGAAACAGCATAAATGATTAATGATTATTCCATTACAAACAAAAGAAGTAAACGGGTAGAGGTTTTAAGACTCACACATATGCAAAAGCATAAAGCATTTGAAACTATTGGTGTTCCAACTTACAAATTTGTACCTTGAGCGAGAGAGAAGGCTACGGGGACTTCTAATTTACATTTAGAACAGTTAACAATATTCAACTAAATGCGAGTTCAATAACAGATTGTTTACAAGTATTTGCACATCCTAATCACAAACGTCTATTATCGTATCTCTATGGACTAGATTCTTCTACCTGTAACTTTATATTTGTGTTCGCAAATATAAAACTAATACACAATGATTACTAGTGTACACTTTCTCTGAAATCTATATGGAAGATACACAATGAGCAATCCACAGAACAATCGGTCGAGTCTTTGAAATACCTGGGGCCCTATCCTAATTCTTACCTTGCTATAATTGCTACCATAAAAAGCATCACAATCACATACTTGCACAAAAATTGGCAAGCCTTTCAACAAAGTAAGAACAAAATTACAAGAATTAGTGTATCCAATCAAAAGGGAAGAAGAGGAATCCAAACAAAGAAAGCCCCAAACAGTAGATGGCTATACACAAATGGTGAAAAACAAATAAATTTAATTAGACTTAATTACGTATTGATTCGTACAACATAGACACGAAAAGATGAAAAAGATTCAACAAATTTTGTTTCCTTCACAACTAATATGGAAGTAAACAAACAAAATAGACAATGTTAATAGATGAGGGCAAAATAACCTTTGGATTTGTAACGATTACACCAAAAGCACTGAAAGTGTCATACAAAAGCTTTTCATCAACATCCTGTAAACAGAATAAAGAGTTCATCTGCATTTAGTTCAAGCAACTACGCTTCACATTGCATAAGTCTAGCCACAAAATATATATAATGTGTGGGTGTAAATATGATGAGTGTGTCGCTAAATACATCAAAATGCCTTACAGGATCAAGGTTCCCAATAAAAAGGTTAGCTCCCACATCCACACTTTTCTTGTCTTGTGACGCCTTAAAAAACAAATGAGCAAAAGTTTTTAATACTAATAAGGCACTCGTAATTTCTGCAAGGGTTATTGAAAATGAGAAAAATGCAAATCGTTAACCACCTCAACTCTGAAACAAAATGTAAAAGTGTACCTTATTTACTCTTATTGCCTTTCCATACAATTTAATCATATTTAGTACCTTAATGGCCTGTAACAAGGATCAATGAATCTAAGCATTATAAGAAGAAAACTTATAAAGGAGACCCGGAGGGGTGGGGAGGGAGAGTGGAATCACAAAATTATGAAAGTACGAGAACACTTACATAATCAGCATCTTCTTCACTTCTAAATTCAACAAAGCCATAACCTTGATGAGCATTAGTGACTCTGTCCTTGGGAACATACACATTGACTAGAACAAATAACACACATAAGCCCCCATAACATAAACAGTGTGTACAGAATGAGCAATTTAATTATGTACATCAAACCACCTCACAACTTGTGTTTACAAAAATCAGTCATATTTTTATGTCGCCTAAATAGAACCTAAATAGAACCAAGAAAAAGAAAAGGCCCAAATGATGATAAAGGAATGTAATGCCAAATATCTGAAAATTACCAACTGGTCCAGCTTGCACAAACAGCTCCCACAGTATCTCTTCGGTCGCCTGTGCGCAGACAAGTTACACATTATTACTCTCAATATTCCAAGGCATACAGACAACGGTGGAACCAGACAATTCTTCTGTTTTCAAATTTTCCAAATTCAAGTTTTATGCTTTGTAGTGGAGGGTGTAGAGTGTAGTCAGCTGTGTAAAATCTAGTGGGATGTACAATGGAATGGATTGTCAAACGAGGTATTCAAGCCACAAAAACACTATCAAAATCATTAAAAAAAGAGTTGGACAGTAACTCAGTTTAAAATTACAGGAGGTCTTCCTAAGAGTGCAAAAAAATCATTGACATGAAACCAAATCATTCAACTTAACTAACACATAATTTCTGCATGAAGCAAACCTATGTAAATCTCCCCAATCTCAGCTGAGAGAGAAACACACGATACCTTTTAGAGATAAACAACCGAATAGCGTGTGACTGACCATATAACATTATACTTTCGGCCCAATCACATGAATTTTCAGGGACAAGCTTTGTTCTCATTAATTCTCAGAAGACAATTCTAATTTTAAGCATATGAGGAGGAAACTGTGGCTGAGGACCACAGCCGACAAGTTCAGATCAAAGAACAGATATGACAAAGAGTTTTCTAACGATTTCACACTAACTATAAACAAAATGCAAAAATATAGAAACTAATCCAGTCAT